ATTGAGGAGGATCTATTGTGAGAAATGGAATATAATATTCATAGGTATGTTTTCATTAGTGTATAATCACCTGAAAATAAGAATCATTGTGTTTTCGTTACCTTAGAATGAGCTGTTTTTATCTATGGAGTGGGTCCTCTTCTACGGAGTCCGACATGTTTCTACAATAGCCCTGAACGGACAAACCAAACACTGGCTTTAGATAGGGTGTACCAACACATTTTTTAATACATTATATAATAACTTTTTGTAATAAAAAGCCTGAACCCAATATGTAATAAACGTCCCTACATTTTGTAATGAATGATTACATATTGTGGTGGCGATTACAAAATCTGGGAGTGCGATTTTTAATGAACAGCATTTTGAATAAGTGGAAGTTTTTGATGTTTTTTTGGGGGAGCCCTGTCAAAAGACCATTACAGTAGTCAACCCTGCAAGAAATAAAAGCCTGAGAAAGAAATAAAGACATTTTGTATTGGAGGCTTAAAGATAGTTGATTGTATTCCCAGGCTCTCTAGGCATCTGCATTTGATACCCTGGGAATGAGACTCAACAATTAACAATTTCACAGATTATTTGTCTCATGTACTACTGTCAGGATAAAGTGAAAGTTTCAGCAAATATGACAAAAAGTTATTTTTTATAGTTATCTACTGCAGCTTTAATTGTTAAAAATGTGTACAGATTAAGGCATCCATTTTGGTTGGTTATTACATAATGAAAATTTTATGATAAAATAAAATTTAAATTTAAATGATAAAAGCACAATATGTAATAATTTACTGTAAAATGCAGGAAGATGTACTACATATTGTGTTCATGCAGCAGGTTATTACATAAGTGAAAATGTAAAACATTTTGTTAATTAGATAATGCAGTGTTATTACATAAAGTGGTGATACATAGGGCCTTTTAAGAGATTCACAGCCACTGTAGTTTCTCCTACATGATTGGAAGGCTGAGCTGTATTCAGTTAGTTGCAATCTGCAGCTAGATACCCCTTAATACACTCTAGACCTTTAAAGTGTGTAGTTCAGGCTGTTGGACAGGAAAGAAGAACACCACCTCAACTCTGGAGGTAGGGACACCTGCACCAAGATGCTTGAAAAAACAGTCCTTTTCCAAAAAAAATTAAACGAAACCACCCAAAAACACAAGATTATATTAGTATAACAAGACAATAGATTTCCTGAGGACATCAATAATAGCAAAGACCACTGAGTCAGTCTCTTATGGCTAATGTTGGCAGACTCTTGGCAGTGATTTTGCAGTGTCGCTGACATCACTGGGTCAGTGTGTTGACTCTTCTCTGTGACCACTGTTCAGAACTGGTTTGAGCCCTACTCCTGTGCATACTGCCGATAATTCGTTCATTAGAAAGTAGGCATAAATATACAACCCAATCAGTGATTGCTGTATAGAACCATATTTTATGTCTGCTGTTTCATGAACTGAAATGTCAAGGCACAATATGTCATAACATGACAAAAAGGCTTCTAAAGGCTCAAATCACAAAATAGAACACCCTCTAGACCCTTCATTTAAATAAGGGAAAATTTGGGAGGAACAGCGTAGGAATCACTGATAATTACAGGACCAACAAAAAGAAACTGCAGGATGTAAATTGATGTAAATTGATGTAAATAACAGAATCCCTTCATTTAACTGGTACATTGCCAGTTGACCATCATATTATTCAAATAAAACATCACAACTCATACTGATATTGAAGCTTTCCTGAGTTTATCACTGCAAGGGACTGGTTGCACAGCAGCCGTCAAAGCCGGGAAAACACTTAGTAATGTGTAGTAATGATGACTCAGTTCCATCAGTGCCCCTGTAACCGTAGCAGTGAACCAGCTCTGATTGCTTGTTTTCATTCAGGCCCGGTAGATTCTCACAAATACCATTAGGAGCCAGAGGAACCTGATTTTTTCACAGATTATCTATCTCATGTACTACTGTCAGGAGATAGTGAAAGTTTCAGAAAATCTGACTTTATTTATTTATTTATTTATTTTAAAATAAAAGCTACCTACTGCAGCATTAAGATATCGCATAAGTCACTCTTTGGTTGGCCTGGTCATAACTCGCCATGTCGGGGTCACAGGTAGACATTACTTAATTTTAAGGCGCACAAACCAAAAGGGTTGGGAACCACTGCAGGAATGTTGTCTGCATGACCACATAATGAAGAGTGCCTGAAAGTCTGTACTCAGGGCAGGAAAGCCACAGTAGTGCCAGGATTTGTTATGTGTTTCTTCCGCCTGTTGATACTGCGCCATAAAAGTGCAGACATATTGGAACGAGAAACGATACCAGCGTTTAATATTGTCACTTTCAACCATATATTGTTGTGTTAGTTTAGCAGTGATAGTATAGTGCTTAATAAAAGTTGAAAAAAGACACGAAAAATAACTCATTTGACAAAACGCTTAAGTTCACATGACTGTGGACGCATGCGCAGTCAACGGGTTGTAACTCGAAGTATTCAATAATCTGGGAAGCTGTTTGCACTGGACACCTCACAGCAAAACGAACAGAAACTAGTGTGTGCTGTTTTATAGAACGGGGGGCGTCTTTCTCAGCAGGGTCCAGCGACAGAGCTTGACTGACGAGCAGCAATGAGCTTCTTCGGTTTTGGTCAAAGTGCGGACATCGATATAGTTCTGAATGACGCCGAAACGAGAAAGAAAGCCGAGCATAAGAGTGAAGACGGCAGGAAGGACAAATATTTTCTCTTCTACGACGGGGAGACGGTGTCGGGGAAAGTCAACGTTACGCTCAAGTACCCGGGAAAGAGGCTGGAGCACAACGGCATCAAGATTGAGTTTATCGGCCAGATAGGTGAGCGGTGGCGGGCCTGCGTTTCACACTGAGCCCGCTGAGAGAAGTGGCCAAAGTATGACAGGAGCTGTTGGGGAGCTAGCTACAGGCGCTCAGTACACTGCCCGACACTCACACTGTGTACTTTATTACATTGATCCTAATAGTAACGCGTGAAGCAGTGTAACGTCACACAGCAGAGCAGCGTACAGTCGTAACAAGTGTCCGTTTCTGGTGTCAGGTCTCGTGACAGATGCGGGTGCAAGCTAACGTCAGCTGACACATCAGCCATTGGCTAACTGCCTCATTGACCTTTGACCCTTGTTTTTAAAACGAAAAGCTCTTTCAAAGCTCTGTCAAATTAGACTGGTGACTTTCATGGTCAGTGTACTTTGGGGTCAACGGGGTTTGTTTTTGAAATGAGAAACAGAAGCGACTGCTGTTAATAAATATGACGAACAAAACGGGTCGGTTTTTCTTTTTGTGTTTTTTTTTTTTTAATTCTTCAAAATAAAAAAACGGAAAGCGGGTACTTTTCTCGTTGTCATTTTGTGTTTTTGTTTTATTTTTTATTTTCAAAATAAAAAGGAAAACGTCTCGTTATCTGATTTTGGTTTTCTCATTTCAAAATGAAAATCCATTGGCCACAAAGTACACTGTCCTTTAATAGGAAGGAGTAGGAAGTAGGGCTGACGTTACACTCAACTAGTAACGATTCAATACCATTGACAGTGCTGCGTTCACTGTCCTGATCCAAATGAGACTGAAGACAATGACTGAAAAGCTCCATGCTACACATCTGTAGATCAGTTAGATTCTCCACAGTTCAGTTGTTCAGTTCATTTTACGGAAACTGCGAGCACCAAAGTATCAAATGATCAAATGAATTATTTGTAATTGTTATGTTATTCCATAGTGAGGTTTTTCTCCAAGTAATATTCATGCTGGTTTGAGTCAACAGTTTGATAGTATTTCCTATTTTTGCTGAGCAAGGGTTTTGTGCAAAATGAATGAAAGGCCTGCTCCAAATAAAGGCAGGTTGAGTTCAGTGGTTGAAGCAAATAAAAGCCCGGGCTGTTAATTGAAGTTTTACAATATTCACCATTAACTGGTTGCTTATTAGCATACATATTTGTAGCATATTGGCTCTTTTTTTCTCACATAGTGCCAGGGCTGAGTATACTGCATGTGGCCCTTTGCTGTCTCTCTCTCTCTCTCCTTTCAGTCTTCAGCTGTCTCTATCAATTAAAGGCATTGAGCTTTCTCCTAATTACTGCTTATTAACAGTAAGTAAGGAAGTTATGTACATGAATTATGAGCTCAATATACTTGCACAGTATGGACCACATTGACAGGACTTTGAACTATTAAACTTGAATTGAGAAAATATTTAAATGAAGGTCTTGCTTACTTACTGCATTTTCTGAGTTGGAAAGACACTACTAACACAACCACAACTATTAACTGTTAGTCAGTGAGAATGAGTATATTCTAAATATATTCTATATTTCTATACTGAGCAAAGCATATTAAGATAGTGCTTCATATACAACAACTTCCTTACTTATTATCATTAAGTACTAATGAGGAGGTTATTGTGGGAAAACTCCTGGATAATGGCCTCGTGGTTGTAGAATATGGTCAGTCAAAATAAGGTTTCAATAAGTGCTCAATAATGATAAAGAGTCAATATTCTACTAATATGGATGCTAGTAGGCAACTAGTTAATGGTGAATATGTGTACCTGTAATCTAAAGTGTTACTGAATCCGTTTTTATTTCTGAGGTAGGGTATAAACTGTGCAAAACAATGCATACTTCCTTTTCTTAGTAAAGGTGAAACTGATGTCTTTGCACCTTGCATTTGTAAAAGAAAAAAAAATCGAATTGACAGTGTACACGTGATATAAAACTATAACAAAATATAATGCAAAAAAGTCCCATGCCAGCAAAAAAAACATGCTGTGATGCATGTTCCCAGGTCATAGATAACCCCCAGAATCAAATCCCTGATATTCACAGGCTCACAAGTAAAAGCGTAGGTTTTGTCTGGAGCTAGTCAGTGCCATGTATTTGCTCCAGTATGGCCATGGTGATTCTTCCTCTGGGATTTGGGAGGTTTATTCATGATGACGCTGTCGCTGTGTGAGCACTGAGCAACGGCTGCCCTTTTTCACAAAGATCAAGTGTGTGGTGGTGGATACCTGACGAAAGCGTTGCCTTCACAGCGGTCAGCCTGAAAGAAAAAAGGTTACAGGGCTGGTCAAAGGGGGTTCAGTTACAGCAGGGATAAAGTAAAGTAAAAATGTAAAATTCCTTTCCGTTTATGGCCCAAATCACTTGTAGTTTCAGTAGTTAACCACCCAAAAAACTACAAAAAGTAATCTAACTAATTGAATCACTATGCAAATGTTGCAAATTAGGCGTATAATAACCCCATACAAATAGTACAATGACAGGTGTTTCACCATTCAGCTGCATAATGAGAATTATGACATTTGGTACTTTTTGATGATAAAACTGTTGAATGCATAATTTCACCAGTCAGTCAGTTCATCCTTTTATCAGTATGAAAGCATTTAAAGAACCTAAACCAGGGAGTGTGTCTTTAAAGGATGAGGTCGGCTTTACATGATGAACCATAAGTTTTGTTGGAGTTTCGCAAAAAACTGATGGGAAAAATCATTTGATATCTGCAACTAATTAGACAAAGGTTGCACTGTGTAAAACCAGCCTGAGGGCCCACTTGATTGGGAAAAGATAACTCCTCGTTTCACTCCAGCTACAGCTTATTTGCATTCTTTCAAAGGTACATTCTGTTCTATTTTCATTTCTAATATATTAAAATGCAGAATAAGCTTAATCTGAGTTTGAAGCAACAGTAGGAAGTTCCTCTTGACATTTTATGTCACTGCTACACCCCTCCCTTTCCCCTTTTTTCTGTTTGTCTCCGAATAAATAAGAAGAAGTAGTACTTTAGATCATGGTTAGGAGAGCAAAATGGCATCCTTAAAGGTGGCATTGTTAAAAAAGCAACTAAAGCCTGCCCTCATCAGACTGTTTAGAGCTGCAGTGATGGCCCAGGCATTAAATCACTAGCCTCGTTGTACTTCAGGTAAAACGGTTTAAAAGGATTTGACTTCAGCAATAAAGAAGACAAATCTATTACAGTTGTTGTTCTGTCATCAGATCAAATCTTGACTGTATGTATAAAACTGCTCCACTGCAGCTGATGCTGTTAGTTTGTCTTATTCATGTCTTCTTTTCCAGAGCTGTACTATGACAGAGGAAACCACCATGAGTTCGTGTCTCTTGTGAAAGACTTGGCTCGGCCAGGGGAGCTCACACAGTCGCAGACGTTTGACTTTGAGTTCACGCATGTGGAGAAACCCTACGAGTCTTACACGGGTCAGAACGTCAAATTACGGTAAGCCCTGCTGTGTGCTCTCTGCATGGTGTGCATGAATTATTTGCAATGTACATAATAGTTCGCAGCAACATTCAGGTGAAGAGTGCCATTAGCCCAAACCTAAAAATGAAATCTGACTTAAATGAGTCTCCTGAATGATGAGTTTCGATGTCTCCCTACAGTCTCCTGATGCCATGATCATTTATATAATGCCATAAGGTGAGGAAACAGCTGCAGGTCTATCCTCATTGCTTGTTTCAGTATTTGAGTAAAACTAATGTGACTTCATTAAAAGATAATATAGTCATCTCTGTTTTCTACTGGTCCAGTTGTCCTAGCAAAACTTGAGATCATGACAGCATACATCAAACAGTAATGCCTGAATACTTGTCATCATGGTATCTCTACTCATACATATGTTATTGTTAGCATGTGTTAAAATTAACATGTAATCTGCTAAAAGCTGTTAAAGGAGTAGTTTGAGATTTTGGGAAATACAATTATTTGCTTTTTTAAAGAGAGTTATATAAGAAGATCTCATATTTGTCCATTATGTGGGGAGTCATGTGGATATGTTATGTGGTTAGGTGGATTTTTTACCTAGCTAGTTGTTTTGCCACTGATTCCTGTCTTAATACTAAGCTAAGCTAATGGTCTTCTGGCTTTAGCCTCACATTCAACACGCAGATATGAGGGGGATATGAGGTCCCAGTCAACCCATGGCCACTGCTGCAAGGACCCAGCCTTGGCTTCTGGGCGCCTGCAGTTACGTTCTAAAGTACTAATAAACATGGCCACACCTCCGCACAACCCTGCAGAAGGTTGTGCACTGCCGGAGTTTTTGGGAATGCAGCTGAAGCGGGACTGTCTGCTGTTCTTCTGTGCTGTGTCTAGCTCATCCCTGTCCTCGGTCAAACAGACAAAGACCTGAACATCCAAAAAGCCAGTCTACGTTTTAGCAGTGTGTGCATGAGTGGAACGCCAGACCAACGTGCACCCTCAATTGTAGTATGAATGATACTGTGTGTGTGTCTATGTAACCGGTACAAGTCTGCAGGACGTGGAAAGTCGGGCTAAACAACTCTGTTGTAAAGTAAATAAGCACATTTCTCAAAATGTTGAAATATTCCTCCCGTCCAGCTCAGACTGATGAAATATGAGCCCTGTCTGACGATGTAGAACAGAGGCTGACAAGCTGATTCTGACATGTCCTAATGTGGCCACTGTGAATGGGATAAAACTGTTTCAAAGGAACATGGCCTTTCCTCTGGCACAACCTTCTTTGCCCCACTACAGTTATCTGTTCTAGTTTAGTTCTAGTATCAGTAACAGGGCCACTCACTGGTTATAGTGTTACACTGCTGCGGGTCCTGTTTCATAGCCACGTGATCATTTTTTCCCTTCTAGCTACTTTCTGAGGGCGACAGTAGGCCGGAGACTGAATGACACCAGCAAAGAGCTGGACATTGTGGTTCACACACTCAGCACCTACCCTGAGCTCAACTCCTCAATCAAGATGGAAGTGGGGATCGAGGACTGCCTACACATAGAGTTTGAGTACAATAAGTCCAAGTATGATTTCCTCTGTACAATTATGCACTTAAATAACTTCCTGTGTCCTTCATAAAAGCAAGAGAGACTGATTCGACCGATCATACTGTTTGCTCTCAGGTATCACCTAAAAGATGTGATTGTAGGGAAGATTTACTTTCTGCTGGTGAGGATTAAGATCAAACATATGGAGATTGACATCATCAAGCGGGAGACTACTGGCACGGGGCCCAACGTCTACCACGAGAACGACACCATAGCAAAGTACGAGATCATGGATGGTGCACCAGTCAGAGGTAACTTTTCCTGTCTTTGGTGGGTAATGAACTGTGTTTCTGTCGGGAGTTTCTGTCCTGAGTTCATTTGTTGCACACTAAATCTGACCTCTTGTGCTGCAGGAGAGTCCATCCCCATCAGGCTGTTTCTAGCAGGCTACGAGATGACGCCCACCATGAGGGACATCAACAAGAAGTACTCGGTGCGGTACTACCTCAACCTGGTCCTCATCGATGAGGAGGAAAGACGCTATTTCAAACAGCAGGTACACATGCTGCACTGTGGCTTCAGTGAACGTTATAAATTATTAAATAGACTTGTTACTTTAGTCTTACCTGAAAATAGTGGGCAACTGCAAAAGACAGCAGCACGTCCAAGTGTATCCTGTTGATTTTCCTGTTTGTGATCTAATGTTACCTGCCCTCTGGTGGTCAGGAGTATTAATAACTAGATACATTTGGCCCACAGCAACACTTAAATAATATATATGAAAGCGAGAAGAGAACTGGAAAACCTAGTAACTAATTACTTTAATATGCACCAATTACTTTTGTGAGAAGTAACTAGTAAAGTAATACAATGTATTTCTTATTACCAGCACTGGTATTAAAGCTGCAGTAGATAACTTTTACTAAAATAACTTTTAGTCATATTTACTGAAACCTTCACTATATCCTGACAGTAGAACATGAGACAGATAATCTGTGAAACAATCAGGTTCCTCTGNNAGTGCTCCTAATGGGATTTAAAGGATCCACCAGCATGAATGAAACCAACCAATCAGAGCAGTGAAACTCTTCAGGCCACCAGCCCAAAGTATCGTCTTTCTCCGCTCTAATTGTTTTTTTTTTCATTCAGGCCCGGTGGATTGTTGCAAATGCCATTAGGATTGTTTCACAGATTATCTGCCTCATGTAACACTGTCAGGATATAGTCAAAGTTTTAATAAATATGACAAGTTATTTTTTATAAAAGTTACCTACCTGCAGCTTTGTTTTTCTTTCTCACCCAACTGAAAACTTTAGGGTGCAATAGACTTATCTGAATATTAAAGGGGCATTCTACTGATTTTACACATGAAGTTCAGTGTACTTGTCACAAGGAGAGTAGGAGGAAGAGAGGAAGGAGAAAACCGTTGTATAATGGCTTCTGTTGTTGTGGAGGGAGCTTTCCAAAGCTTGGAAAAAAATATATATCATTAGTCCTGTATTGTGCTGTTGCAGGAGATCACCCTGTGGAGGAAAGGTGACATAGTGAGGAAGAGTATGTCTCACCAAGCAGCCATCGCCTCCCAGCGCTTTGAAGGCTCCTCCAATCCAGAAAGGTCCCAGGCCCAGAGCAACGCAGAGGACGACAGCTAAAGCTCATACTCGACCCTCGTGGAGTGAGTGTGTGAGAGAACGCAGTGCAGAAGTTGTCAGCAAAGTCTGAATGAGAATATCCCTTGTTTGCATCCAGATACAATGTGCTGCAGTATTTTTCAGGATGTGTGTGTGTGTGAGTGTGTGAGTGAGTGAGTGAGTGAGTGAGTGAGTGAGTGAGTGAGAGAGAGAGGCTTTGAAATGTGACTGTGTGTGTGTCAAGGGGACAAACAGTCGGACCAGGTAGTTGCAAGTAATTCTGAGTGTTTGTGTGTTTAAATCACCTTGAAGTACCAGCTGGGTGGAGTTTTCCACATTAAGACTGATTAGACAGTGTCAGCAAATTTCTCTGTCACACGAAACTGCACAAAATTGACATTTAAGTGCTTCACTTAATTTGTATTTTATTATTTTATTGTTTTGGCATTTTTGTACAGTTCAGTGTGGCAAACTTCACCCGTTAGATGCACTTAAATATCATTTGCAAATACTGTTTGACCAATATCTTGAATTGTGTGTATGAATGTACAGTACGTGGAAGTGAGCCACCTCGGGTGTATTTCTAATAAGACCTTTCCTTCAAACTACTTACTTGGCTGGAAGATTGTGCTGTGCAGAAACTGTAGTCATACAGTATGTTTCTAAGAAGTGGGTAAACAGTAGATCTCACAGTTCATTTCTCTACGTCCCCTCAATGGAATGTGACATTAATTCATTTAAATATTTTTGCTTCTTCATGTAAAAAAAATGTAATTTTGAAAATTAGCCATGACTCTTGATCAGTGGTTCCCAACCTAGGAGTCTGGACCCCCAGAAGAGGGCGCCAAAGCCTCACAGAGAGTGGCCATGCCTTTTTGATTTTAAGGGTTGTAAAAAACTTTTAAAACATACGCATTAATGCGTCTATCTCAACATTTTGTTAATTTCTGTGAAGATTAGCCAATTTTAAATAAATTAAATTCATTTTTTTAAGTTTAGATTATTATTTAAGATCTAAACCAAAGGCACAGAGCTCTGCCATATAATGTCCTCCTGCATTAGAGCTAGTAAAACAATCAAGTGTGTATGATTGGGGGGAAAAAACATAATGCAGACAGCTCAAATTTCATCCAAATCTCTGGTTTTAAACAAACTTCCTGCAGTTATTGTGTTCACTATTTGAATTCATTGTACAGTTTATCAGCTGTTCTCTACTGTTATACACTGAATGTAATATGAAATATCTATAAAACGTGTCACTAAGTCAGGGGTCGTCAGTTTCCTCAGTGGCAGAAAAGGGGTCCCTTAAGGAAAAAGGTTGGGAACCACTGTCTTAAATAATAAACAGTACAAGACTTTAAAAAATGCTCTAAATGAAAGGAAACACATTTACGCATTCGTATAAGACGACGTTTAAAATATTTTCATACATTCCCGACTCTCCAGAAATAAGCAGGACTGTGGCAGAGTATTTATTTTTAAAGTAAAGTCCATTTTTAACCAGCATTTTACAGGTTTGATGCATCCGTTGGTTGTGTCAGGTGGTGTTGCCACTGCTGCTAAAACAAACGTGGCACTTGTGAACGCTGGGGGATCGTACTTCCATCACTGTTCCAGTCTCTGATAGTTTGAAGCCCTGCTTTCTTATTTGCACTATGATCTGCTTTTTCTTCTTGCTCTCAGTGCTGTTCATGAACTCACTGGACTTGCGGCAGGGTTCAGGGGCGTACCCGGGCATCACTTCAAATCTAATATATAGACAGTATTACACCTGTGTTTAGTTACAAAGGCGACTCGTGAGTCCTGCCTCTTAACAGGCTGCCGGGACTGACTGCCCTGTTTGGTTAGCTAGCTTTGTGCCTAAGGATTTATTGCCAAAATGTTTCAGTGCAATACTAGAGAACAGTTGCCACAGTGTAAGCCCTTTCTTCCCATTTAGACTGTGCTCATCAGTTTATCCACTAGTCACTTTTCACAAGTTTGAATAATGGGTCTAGTGTGAAGGTGGTTTCAAATAATGTTATTGTGAAAAACTGAATGTATAAGAAAGGCTACTCTTAATTCAAATTCAGAATGTCCCAAACTATATTTCCTAAATAAGCATAATCAGGTTTTTCTGTTGCATCTGGTCAGGCAGAGTACGTAATTGAGTTCCTGTGCCATTACTTCTTTTGTTTTCTTTCCTTTTCTAAACTATATTTTCTCCATCCTGAAAAAAGAGCACCCCAGCGAGTACGTGTGAAGCACTGAATCTGAGCCCCAGCACTCAGCCCATTGTCCTTACATCGCCCTAGCCTGCAACTCTTTGCTCGACAAGCTTACGCTGTGCAACCTCGCACAATCTATCACTGTGTATCGTATTGAAGCTTGAGACATTTTTGTATTTTGTACTTTTCCTGGCAGTAAGCTCAATTTTTAGTATGCTGTTGTTGGGCTAAAGCAACACGTCCACCGTCGCCAGACTGCTGTTCAGGTAACTGCTGAAATACAGGATACGCCGGCCTAGCATGTGTTGATCTGAGCCGATAAGACACTTTTGTTTGGATTAATGTAGCTTGATTTACGGGTTGACAGAGTTTTCCTTCCTTCGAGATTCCTTCTTTGGTTTGTTGTTGATGTTGGTAGAAATCACTGCCTTGTAGGGCTGCAACTACAATTATTATCGGTTAATCTGTCAATTGATTCGATTAATTTATTAGTAGTTTGATCTAGAAAATGGTTTGAGATGTTGATCAAGGTGACGTCCTCAAACGTCTTGTTTTGTCCACAATCTGAAGATTTCCGGTTTGCTGTTCTAGAGGACTAAAGAAACCAGAAAATATTCACAATTGAGAAACTGAAATCAGACAACAGTTACTCAAAATATTTGCAGATTAATAGTTGACAACTGATCGATTAATCGACTAATTGTTGCAGCTCTACTGCCTTGTAAGCTGAATGTATTAGGTACAAGACATCATTGTAATGAGGGCCAGCCCTCAATGATTTTGCAAGTTTCAATAAAGGTAATATATGAAGGGACTGTACCAAAATTATTTGAGTGGGGAGGGGGGGTGAACCCTAAATTTGATGTACAAAAAAAAAAAAAAGACCTTCCCCAGGGTTATAAATATTTGTTTTGGATCCTTGTTTTTGCACTCTTCCCTATGTGTTCAGTCAGAATCAGGTTAAGTAGCAGTAAGTAGGTTTTCACATACAAGGAATTTGCCTTGGTAGTTTTGCACAACCATAAACAGTAGAAGAAAAGGGACAGATGGAAATCAAGTACTGCAAAATTCAAGAATCATAAATTTAAAAGAAAAACATTAAAATATGTCAAATGTATGTTTTTAAAATGAAAAGAGTTCAGTGTTTGAAATGATAAGGCTGGAATGTGCAAAATATAGACACAAGAGCACAAGTTGATGCGCTAGTTCAACTTGAGCGAGACAGGGCTTTAACACACCTTCCTGACTAACCATAAACATCCTCTACACTTTCTCAACCTGACAACTTGGTCCTTATTGCTACTAGAAAATAAAGCCTCAATGCAGAGACATTATTGTTGTCTTCTGCATATAACAAAACATACCGTTATGATTCATGGTGCATACAAAAGGCATGTTTTTGACATAGTTACTAACTGATGTAACTATTCAGCCTTTTTTTCTAAAAGGTAAACCTCACAAAAAAGCATGAAATGGAATATAAATCTGGGGCTTGGAAAACAACATCCTGCCCTGCTCTAGCAACATATTTCAAAGCACCCTCCCTTCTCTGACCTCCACCACCTAATCATTTTCTTACAGTCCCTAACTTCAATAGAATGTATTCTGCATTATTTTCCCGCCTAAGTCTGGGTCCTTTATTTTGGCAGTTACCTCAATTAATACAATAACACTTCACTGAATTTTGCTGATGAAAAAAAACATTCATGTAGCCCAAAGCAACTTTGGAGTACAGTACATGTTTCTTTTGTTCTGTTATGTGGCTGTGATTAAATGTTTTGCCAGTACTGGTACAGACACACAGTAGCTAAAGTAACCCAGTTCGGTAATAGAGCATAAATTGAGATTAAACGAGGAAAGACTGATGAATTGTACAGTGTAAATGCACAATGTAAATGCATCCCTACTCCTCTTTTGTTGATGTTCATGTCATATTTTATCTTCCTGTCTATAAATGTTGATTTTAATCATTTTATATTCTGTTTTACTTTGAATTAAAAGGGAGTAACTGAAAAGCGCATCTCCTCTGTGTTAATTGAGTGACGTTCAATGTGTGCTCCTCTCGGGTCTGCAACTGTTATTTTCATTATTTTCCTGATTAACACATCTATTGTTTCAGTCAATTGTTTAAAGCTAAACTTTTAGTCATAACTTTCACTATATCCTGACAGTAGAACATGAGACAGATCATCTGTTAAAAATCAGGTTCCTCTGGCTCCTCCTAGTGCTCCTAATGGGATTTACAAGAATCCACCTGAATGAAAACAACCAATCTCATTCCCAGGATCCCAAAGAGTCTCTATTTGACACCCTGGGAATGAGACTCAACAATAGCACTAGGAGGAGCCAGAGGAACCTGATTGTTTCACAGATTATCTGTCTCATGTTCTACTGTCAGGATATAGTGAAAGTATCAGTAGATATGACAAAAAGTAATTTTTTATAAAAATGAACTACTGCAGCTTTAAGACATTCACAGCTACTGTAACAGAGACACAAGATGATTGTCTGTAAGCCAAGCTCACTTCTCTCTCATTAAATGACATGGATGCAGTCGCACTGTGGTCATATTTTTTAGCATATTTTTGTTCCTTCCTGAATGATAAATATTGGACAGGCTTCCATTTTTACTCAAGTTATTAGGGCTGCACAATAAATCAAAATCTATTTAGTTTTAAAAGGGAAAATGTGTGACAAACAGCATTATAATAAAGTACTGTAGTCAGGATTCCTACACGTGAAAAGGTTCTGAAAAATGATTTCTGAAAAGGTGTAGTGCTGCAGAGATGCCCTGGCCTACAAATCATGTTCTCCAGACGCCCAGATGTTTGTAACAGCCCCAAATTGTCAGATCTGATCACGGCATGTTTCCCTCCTCACATTCTGTTCATGTTGTTGTTGTTCGCTGATTCGTTGATATAGAATTGGGAATGTAAATGCATCATGATTGTCCTCAGTAAAAGCCCCACTGATGGCATGTCTCCACTATAGTTTTCACTGTGTGGAGCTTGTGTTGTCACTAGAGGGCAGGTTGGGATCAAATTTCTTTATGAACTAGATTTCCTGTAGAAAAAGAATGAAATCATTTGTGCAAGTAAAGGCCATTGTTAATCTGCAGTATGAGTACAAGTCTAACTTCTATCTGTTGAATATGTCTAAAGTCTACAGCCCTACAAAGAGTGTAACCAAAGTTATTTTGTCTCAGAAATAAAGCAGAAACTCATTATCCTTCTGCTTTTAGCAGACAGCTAAAACTGTTTCCAATGACTCATTCATCATGTTAAACAGGGATCAGTTGAATACATTCCACAGGAAGTATACTGTGGTATGGTGTTATGTGATGAATGCTTTCTCGTTATCTAGAAAAAATGTCTGCTATTTAAGAGAAGACCTTGCTGCTGAATAAAAAAATGGTCTGAATGAACACGGAGTGAAGGTTCTATTATGCAGTGGCACATTTGACACAGGGAGCTTCTTCAGAAATTCTGTGTTCGACAGAAAGGGTGATTGGAGTTATTGCACAAGAAGGACATGGAAATGTTTGACTATGTTCACTAGACAGAAGCAACAACTGGCAGGTCTATATGTCAGCTGAATTAGATTCAGTTCAGCAGTAGGGGAAGCAGATTCCCCATACAAAACTACTGAACTTTTTGTCCTCACATTATATTAATATTCTTATTAATTAAACATACTACAAGGATCGTTTAACTGGTTATAGAGCAGTCTCAGTTTCATACTGGTGCCTCTGAATGGCTGACAAAAACAAATAAGACCATCGGTGAGAATATTTGATATATATATTTTTGACTTTGCATATTCAAGTGTGTGTGGTGCAGTTAATGAAAGCCTTTAAAGGTCCAGTGTGTAACATTTAGGAGGATATATTGGCTTAAATGGAATATAATATTCATAGCTGTGTTTTCATTAGCGTGTAATCACCTGAATGTAAGAATTGCTGTGTTTTTGTTTTTCTTAGAATGAGCTGTTTTTATTTAGATGGCACGAT